ACGAAACTGTTAAGGACTGACGTCCCTCTAATGCCGTATGATATATAGACGAAACGTTGTGTGTTGCTAAATTCAATGAGTAAAACTTGAAAATTAACTCAGTTCTCTCTCACAAAACACGAAAGTTCGAATGAAAAGCATCAGTTATAGTAATAAATGCTCATATTGCACTCAGTGACCGTCCTTTTTGGTAATTTTACTCCCTTCTTTACGGTTGTCATAAAAGTTTACTTTCTGCATTGCGAAACTTAAGTTCTTAAGACGAAACGTTGTATGTTTCAAACATCAATGAACAAAACTTTAATATTAACTCAGTTCTGTCCTGCAGAACACGTACATTTTAATGAAAACAACATTTAAAATTATAAAAGCTTATACAGAGTGATTCACGAAGTTTTACCCCGGCTTATGGTACATATTCCTGGGGTTATTTCCTGCAAAATTTCCTTATAAACTTTTGGTCGATTTTCAATAGTTACGGAGTAACAATAGTTTTTCGAAACGCATCATTGTGAATGCAGCGCTATGCTTCAGCGTGGGCGACCACACGTTCCAGTCAGCTATGTCAGCAGATAAGGCAGACCGGTTTGAATGTTGCGCGTAGGTAGATAGGCAGAGCGGTCCATACGCGTGCGACGCATTGTGTTGACGTGCAGGGAGAAATTTTTGAAAATCTTATGTAAATCCAGTCATCTTCTAAAGCACTACAGTTTAAAGGAAACAGATTGATAGAAGGGTGTGATATGTGTAATGTCGTCGCTGCCACCGGTGTTGATGTAGGTGTGGTGGTCTCTCGCTGACAGCTAGACGCCACAATGTCGATGCCTCAGGATGTTATAGACTTCGACGGTAAATTGGGATAATAACGGAGACTTGTAGGTAAGCAAGAACAACTAGGTATTCTTGGTTGCGACAAGAGATCTCTCTTTACTGGATCTAACAGACCCAGCGTGGTGGAAGTACAAAGTATAAAGTTGAACTGACGAGAAGCAGAGCTTCGCCCTCTATAATATGACCAGAAGATCTGATCCCGCGTGTTTTCACACGGGCCTTTTTATAGGACCAAACTGGTGTTGGTTCACAGGAATGCACTCACATCTCCCCTTCCAAAATGCATTAGGGTCAGCTGTGCATTAAAGTTACAAGAAACAGAACTCCCAGAGCCTTGACTCGAGCGTGGGAGAGAACTTTAAGTTTGTGTCTCAACCCCAGATTCCTCCTATAATGCCTTTAAAGTGCAAAAGACAATTCAAAATATTACACAGAAATACACGTAAGATTGCTTCCTTATTGGAAGACCCGGAAGGGGTTTGACAGATTCATGGTAATGGACCAGAACACTTGGGTTACTTAAACCCTTAGCTAAAAGCTTCCTCAAGAGTGTCGCCTGTCCTGGCGGCTATGCTGATTACACATGGCTTCCTGCAACCCTCGGTCCGAGGTACACTCTTGTTCTTATAACATTAGTATCTTCATTATACGTTACCACAATTGTTATTAAATATAATATTGTTGACTACTACATTCTACGTTTCCTTATATTAGGGTTACATGTTCAGTTGTAACATAAAATCTATGAAAAATGTCGCACAAAGCAAAATTAAGGAATTGAAAAAAAAAGTGGTTTTAGAATGCTTCTTTCCTAAAACATTAACGATTTAAAAAGTGTTTGTATTGTATTTCTAATTTGTTTTGACTGAAAATCGAAGAAAAAATATTTTTCGCCAGTTTTCAAATAACTGTATCTCTTTAATTGTGAGTCGGATACCATTAGTATATGAACATTTTTTGTTCCAAATTACCTCAGGAATGCCCTCCCTAAGTGGGGGTAAAACTTCGTGAATCACTCTGTATAGTTCCTTAATTGACTGAACTTTTTGGTAATTTTACTCTCTTCTTTAAGGTTGTCCTAAATGTTTGTTTTCCGAATTAAGAATCTGAGGTTCCTAATAGATTGCCATACTTAGGTCATTTATATATCTGAAGAATCGCATACGTATCTCGGTTGGATTCAGACATTTGCGAATAAACCGATTCCAAATGCACTACAAACATTCATCATATTCTGCTCTGCTTTATTAAATGTCTTAATATGAGCACAAAACTCAAATTGAAGTATATTTTTTATTAAATATGATATATACGTGAACTCCTAGACGGGTTATATATATATATATATTATTGTCACGTGTTGGGTATATGTCGCGCGACAAATAACTTCACGCCGTCTTAGATGTAGCGAATTTATTCCACTCGCGCTCACAATTACACAAAAATTATTTGAAGTTCATTAGAAATGCTTACTAGAATGCTGGATATTACAGTCTCAAATACAATATTTAGTATTTTCTTTTTCTTATATCAAATTAGGATATTTACATGTGCAGCTCAACTGGCTTCACCATTTAATGAATATTTTTTGTGAATTTTTAACGTATTTTTGAGGGAATTATATATATAACGCAATATTTTAAAATTAACATCATGTTTACACACCAAAAAATAACATACATAATGAAAAGGGTTTAGCAGAATTTATGTGTACCCAAGGATGACAATTGTTATATGCGTTGCGTTGGCTGGGTAGCGAGCCTGGTTCCAGCCGCCGACAAACATATACCAATTTTATCAATGGGTCCGTCGAGAGCTTTGTATCCTCGACGAGTGCTGTGGTTGTGAATCAGGATGAGGGTGAAGTCAATCGACGTGGGAAGGTGTTCAGTGTCTCCAACACAGAAGATAGGATAGAATAAAAGAGTTTATTGTAGCTTCTTGGTGACTACATGCTGTATCAAGCCTTCAAGCCAAGAGTCGATCGCCGACCTCCTACTACTGACACTGCTGTAATACTACTGTCTGTCTCTCGCGACCGCGTTACAACTTATAATATACAATGCGGTCTCAAGAGGGTCGTGGTAATGTTTACACAGGTGGCATGATGCGTGTGCTCTAAGTCCATCCACGCATGATGTCATCAGTTGTCTTAGAGAGGGCAAGTTGTCCCCTCAACTAATAATAACAGAACCCAGGACACACACGCCTCACTGGAAATAGCCTACTTACTTGGAGAGATAAAACATTTCTCCCCTCTGTTAATATAAGTCAAACACCTGTTTCCTCCATCAGCAAATGTAGCTGTGCTATATTTGAGAATGACCTGCTATGCGTGGGTGTCAGGAAATCCGCTATTACACCAAGTACTTGTACATTAGCACATCTTAAACTTAACATTTTCTTATATTTGTCTGCATCACCGTCAAGACCAAAGTGCCGGATGTGGCCCACCTGTGAATATTACCATTGTTACTATTATTACCAAGATATATATATTACATTATAAAGAAAATGCCCAATATCAAAAGGACAAGGGTTCGATCCTCACGACACAGTATACAGCCAAATTATTTCGTTAAGAATAACAAATATATAAGAAATCATGTAGATTGAGGGTGTTTGAGAAAAGGGTACTGTGGAGAATATTTGGGCATAAGAGGGATAAGAAAATAGGAGGCTGCAGAAAGCTGTATAGTAAGGAACTTCTTCTCATTTACAAAACTATACTCACACCTATATGGACGTACGGTATAGAACTTAGGGCTGTAGTAAACCATCCAACACCAAAATGCTACGAACCTTCCAATCAAAAAAACTACGTTACATAACTAACGCTCCATGGTTCGTATCAAATCAAACTCTCCACGAAGATCTTGGAGTTTCTTATATAAATGAGGTCATGAACAAACAAGCCATCAAATACAGAAACCGCATTGTGGATTATGAAAACCAACTAATAAAAGGACTCGCCGTCGAACCCTTAGTGAAGAGAAGACTCAAGCGTCAATGGCCAGAAGACGTATTCTAGGTAACGGAGGATAACCCATCAGTGGATGGTACTCCCTACAAGCCACGCAACGCTCTAACATTTGCTTATTACTTTGTATTAGTACATTGTGAGTAGATTGTAAATATCCTAATATAAACAAAAAAAAAGGTAAGGAGCTTGGTAGGCCGCGCCATAGCTCAAGCGGTTAGTCGTTGACTTCCCACCGCGGCGGCCCGGGTCAGGTCAAGTGGGATTTGTGGTGGACAAAGTGGCACTGGGGCGAGTTTTCTCCGAGTACTTTGGTTTCCCCTACCAGTCTTCATTCCACCAAATTCTCCATCACCATAATCACCCGGGGCAGGCTACAACAGGCCAATCAGTGGCCGCCGTGCCGAGTGGACCCAGTTGGACTCCATCCCGCACAAAGCGAATTAAAAAAAAAAGGAGCTTGGTGACTTATCCTTCTCACCAAATGTCAATATCATGAACAATTCATGTAGCATGCGTGTGAAGGAAGGAAATTGCACACAGTTCTAGTATGGAAACCTCAACGGAAGAGACCACTAGGAAGACCTAGACGTATGTGAGAGGATAATATTAAAACAGATAGTAGAGAAATGGGATGGGGACGTGTGGACTTGATTGATCCAGCTCATGCTAGAGGCAAGTGGCGAACTCTCGTGAACAAGGAATTACATTTCTGGTTCCATCATACGTGGGGAACTCTTGCCACCTAAAAGGACACCTTTTCAAAATGGGATTGACAGATGACAAAACCTGTGAAAGGTGCCTATAAGAAGACGAATCAGCCAGATATATCCTATGTGATTGTGAAGCCATGGCTTCATAGCCAGTTCTTTATGGAACCAACTGACTTTTACGACACCACCAATAAATAAAGCCCTACATTTCATTCGAAGTGTAGGATTAATAGAGGTTTAATCCAAAGGAGAAGCACACTAGATCATTGAGGGTCGCAGGGCCCGATTTTATGGCCCAACCCTTCCTACTACTACTATTTTTCTTATTATTATTATTATTATTATCACCACTATCACCTCCACGTGGGGAACCTCCAAGAACTGCTAGTTTTTCAGCGATACAGGCCTGTAGAGTCAGCAATTTCTACGAAATTCAAGGTTAAAGAATCTACTCTGTGGGTCGGTAAGTTTGTAATGTAACTTCTTCATCGCTTAGCGCAGCACAGCTTTCGTAAACATGTTTCCGATTTCAGGTTGACATGGAGTTCAGTTGTTCAAATAATTTACGTTCCTAAAATCCAGATACAGGTAGACACCATAGATGTGGAACAAGTGAAATACAATATAAATACAATGACATCTGTACAATAACAGTCTAATTGAAAAATTAATAAGGTTATAAATTACATAAATATAAGTTAGATGTACTTTTGCATCACAATTTGAGCCTGTTAACAGGAATAATGTCTACTAAAATAAATAAGAAAATGTATTCTTGTGTAAATGAATTAATGTACATATGTTCTTATTTCCACATTTATATAATTGCGTGTAAAGAAGTGCTTTCCTACGGTTTCAAGAGGTTATGTAGCGTTGCGGTACTAGTAGTTCAGATTGTTTTAAAGCTGCATGCCGTTTGTTTATATTAGACACGATGTACCGGCACAAAACGCAAATGATAACGATACTAATATGTAACTTATTTTCTGTAAATGTTTCAGTTCCACTGAACGTCATCAGATGGAGAATCGCCAGATGAACTGTAAGGATAACAGCCGTTGCAGTCAGGTAATTAGGATACTCTCGAAATTTTGACTGACTTTTTGTTCCAAAAGTTATGCTGACTTGAGTGATGCAGACTGTGATCTAAGCTGTGTACCACTTTCTTTAAGTTATTTGGCTGCTTTAATTTGTATGGTTTTATATGTAGACTCTTCCATAGAATTCTGTGAACAGTCGATTGTGGTATCTGCAACTCTGCACTTGTTCGGGAGGTTGACTTCTTCAGGTTCCATATGAAGTCTCCCTAACATGATCCACATCTTCATCAGATGCTCTAGGCCATCCATTAGAATGCCTCTTTCCAACACTGCATGGCAGTCTAAATTGCTCATGTGATCTCCTGAACTTCTTGTCATTGTCCACTCACCCTATACTCATGTCCAAATTTACTTTGAACTTGAACAATTTATTTGGATTTTGCATACCAGTACACAGTCTATGATTTCTGTTGTACGATAGATATTGTATTGGTCCACAGAACATACACTGAAAGCTGCTGTATGTTAACTACAGTTGAGATGCATGCACCATTTGTGTCATTGAAATTGTTTTCATTTACTCTTACACTTCAAGTAACAACACCATTATATCACTTTTCTTTCCTGAGTTGTAGGTGTTTGAAATCCCAGGATTCTGTTTGGTAGACACTGTGCAAGCTTGCGACTGATAGTAAGTCAGTCAGTAATTCTTGGTGTCGAGCCCCATCTGGGGCTCATGACCAGATATTAATTGCTGTTTGACAGTTACAGTCTTGATTTCGTGGGGCACCCTCTCTGACTAGAGGATGGGTCTGTATTTTGTATATGCTGCTGACCCTTGCCAGCACAGTCTTTTTCGAGTCCAAGTCCCTTGGGATTCCTGACCATATTTTACTGTCTCAGATTTGAGACTTCCCTTTTGATCACCTCCCACGACTCGCAAGGTCACAGTGGAGGTATTCGACCTGGCCTCCACATGGGTCTGACCAACTTGACTCTGTTCCTTAGCACTTATATGGTCTCAAGGCGGAACCATAGAAAACATATTCATTGCCCAGCAATGGACATATGTGAACACACATAGAAAACACCTCTTCCTCTCTTGTTGTATTTACAGCATGTTCCAGAGCAACGCAAATTATCCGATTGTGGGAATGTGTTTAGCAACCCATTGCATAGAAATGAGCATGGCATGTACCGCTTCTTGCAATACCTTTTCTGTTTGTTGTTGCCTGTGTGTATTTCAGGCATTGCCTAGAAAAGGGGCTACATGTCGCAATATTTATCTTTCAGTCCTTAATAATTTTGGTTAGAGGTTCATAGAGTGAAACAACATGTAATGTGTGATGTATCTGAGGATGGCCATGTAAGTTTGAAATGGCTGTGTTAACAACACAGGGGCTTGAAGTAGAACATTGAGACAAAAACTGTGTACCCATTGAAACATTTACAAAAGTTGCGGTAATAGGAGTGGAAGGAAATGACCAAGATCAATGAACATTGAAGTTCTATAAAAGGCAAGATAGCTCTTCTCCATTAAGTGAGCAACAGCTTGCTTGTGCAAAGAACTCTGCTTCTAGAAGTTACTATTGTGTACTGATTTTGTTGAAAGCTGTTTGAAGTTTGATGATTCAGAAAATGATTGTAATGACAGTATCTCTTGTAATGAGACAGCACAGTCATGATTGATAAGGGCACAATGGTTTTACAGATTTGTACAGATTTCCTGAAGGTGGAGCCTGGTTCAATTAGTGAGGCATGTCCAGCATTTTCTCGTGATGGGGATCATATCATTGATATAAAAGTTGAGGAGGATCCTGTGCTAATAAATTTCCCAGGAATAAAGGCTGAACATGAGGTGAGTGTTATGTCTGTGTGTCCATTGCTAGGCACACTCCACAGATACCTAGAACTGTGTATTGTTTTTCTCATCTTAATCTGTCTACATGAATCATGTTCACTGTACTGAATGAATTTTGAGGAATTCTTTGGGAAATGTCTCTGCAGGATTGTATTTTGTTGCACATTTCCTATGGTTTTTAATTCGGTTTGAACATACCTGAAATTATGTTTTTAGCCGCAAGGTCGTTATGTTGTGGAATATGATTCTGTGTAATTTGGCACCTGCGTGCAGAGCTACACAGCATCACATCCCATGGGACTGCAATCTTCATAGTAACTGCTTTGAGGACCTCAATCCTCAAAAAGAAAATGACATTCATAGTGAAACAAAGAGCAATAATAAATATGGGGGTTGCTTCCAACTTGTCTTCCCATCTGCTTTCAAGAAATGCACAGAACAGTGATTTCACGCGTTGTTTTGTAAGAGCATGAAAATTGGTCTGTCATATCAATGGACCAACATACGTTAACCTTCATTGTCGGCCGCGCCGTAGCTCAAGCGGTTAGTCGCTGGCTTCCCACCGTGGTGGCCCGGGTCCAATCCTGGGTCTGGTCAAGTGGGATTTGTGGTGAACAAAGTGGCACTGGGGCAGGTTTTCTCCGAGTACTTCAGTTTCCCCTGCCAATCTTCATTCCACCAATTGCTCCACAGTCACCCTCATGTATCACCTGGGGCTGGTACAATAGGCCAGAAGTGGCCGCAGTACAAGGGACTTATTCCCACCCCACTAGCAATAAAAAACCCTTCATTGTCCAGAAATAGGGACTTGAAAGTTACGACTACCTGCAGGGTTTTAAATCTTTGGAGGGATTAAATGGTGAGGGTGTTGAAGAATGTGTGTGTGTGTGTGTGTGTGTGCATATTTCTCTCTGGATCTGGATGTGGCTTTGGACCTGGATATGTGATTGCTAACATATCCTATAGTTGTAGCTGGTTAGGGCCATCATCCCTTCACTCATGCTTCCACTTTTTTCTTGTCCCTGAGGCTCCACCTGCCCTGAAGTATGTTGAGTAGGCAGTACAAATGACTGGTGTATCAAATGACATCAGTTTTTTAAATAAGGCACTGTATTTTGCATATTTCTCTTTTCTTAAGTTTGGTACTTAGTATTGATACTATATAGTTTGGATAAATTGTATGTAAGTCATACCAAAAGTCATGAGCTACTTTTGCATGCAACCTGGGAACAACAGACGAAAGCGAGTACGGTGATAGGTGGAACCAGCTGTTGTATTAACCTTGAGTGTCTTGTGACATCAATAACTTGCATCACGTGACCAGTATAACTCCTAACAAAATGGCCGACAACCATATGTCGTTTTGCCAGCGTGCTGTTATCGAATTTCTTGTGAAAGAGGAAATCCCTGCTGCAGAAATTCACCAGAGACTACAGTGTGCTTATGGAAGTATGTGCATAGGTGCGAGCCGTGTTCGAAGATGGGTGAAACATTTTAAAGCTGGGAACACCAGCATCAAAGATGAGCCTCGGAGCAGCCGTCCCCGAAAAGCCTCAACTGAACACAACAAGGAAAGAGTGGATGAGATCATTCAAGATGACAGGCATGTGACTGTGGACACAGTAGCCTGAAAACTTGGAATAGGGCACAGTGCAGTACAGGCTATGATTGAAAGCATGGGCTTTGTGCTCGATAGGTCCTGCGGTTATTGACCGAAGACCACAAAGGTCAGCGAAAAGCCATCACCTTAGAACAGCTGCAGAGATATCGACACAAAGGCGATGATTCCTTGCTGTGTATTGTGACAGGTGACGAAAGCTGGTTTCACCATTTCAAGCCTGAAACTAAATGGCAGAGTATGGAATGGTACCATTTGCATTCTCCATCAAAAAAGAAGGCAAAGACAGTGCCATCAGCTGCGAAGGTGATGGGCACAGTCTTCTGGGATGCAGAGGGGTTTCTTCTGGTCGAATTCCTGGAACCTGGGCAAACAATCAATGCTGCTCGTTATGTCCAGACACTGCACAAGCTCCGTCGAGCATTGCACAATAAACGTCCAAGACGAAACATCATCATCCTGCATGACAACGCTTGCACCCATGCTGCTTGCCTCACATTGGATGCAATTGCAGAGATGGGATGGGAAATTCTTCCACATCCCTCCTATAGCCCTGATCTGGCACCCTCCAAATGCCATCTTTTCGGATTTGTGAAGGATCAGCTGCATGAACGTTTTAAGACAAGGGAGGCAATTCAGAAAGCAGTGCATCAGTGTCTTCAGATGGCTGGAACAGAATTTTCAGACTCCCAGAATGCTGGGAGAAATGTGTACAAAGAAGTGGTGATTATGTTGAAAAATAAAGAAAGGCCTGTAGATTGAGGTGGTGTATTTGGTTTGTCAATAACAAAGCACGTTACTTTACAAAAAATTGTTGCTCATGACTTTCAGTACGACCCTCATATATCAATGAAAATAAAGCATAGTTTCTTCTTTGTCTAAGGCAGGGCTCGGCAAAGATTTTTCATAAAGGGCCAAATATAAAATACATTACACTCTGAGGGCCAAAAGGCAAACTTGAGGATCTTTAAAAGTTGGTACAGTTAAAATAACAGGTTAAAAAACAAGTTTTCACAAATTTACTGGTGAAAATGTAACATAATAAAAATACAAAAGGAACTACAATCATTGTTTGAAACACAGCTTTAGGCTACTAATGGGATGAATGAAATTGTTTTTTTTAGATAACATTTCTTCAAATTGGGGGTCAAAGTTAGTACTCCCTATCATCATAATTGATTGCAAATGTTCGTCTGTTAATGCTGACCTGTATTGAGATTTTACATATTTCATCTTTGAAAATGTCTTTTCACACAGGTAGGTACTACCAAATACAGAGATCAAACCTCGAGCATATGATCTTAATTCACCATATTCATCACTTGGAAGACACTTATAGAATTCTGTTAGATTGTTCTCTTGGAATTTGCCTTTTAGCATGTTATCACACTGCAGATTAATCACTTCCAATTGAAGGTTAGGTGGAAGTTCCTCAATTGTACAGTTAAATGGATTTTCAAATCTGGAAATGTCTTCTGCACTTGCATCAAGATCCGAAAAACGTTGCTGGAACTGTTTTTTGAGCTCAGAAAATATATCACCTGCAAATTCGTGCGGGAATGGGGAATCCACTTCTTCTTTTAATGTTTGACAGCATGGGAAATGCACAAAACAGCTTGACATGATTTGTGACTCAATCAAAGCCAGTTGTCGTTGAAATGATTTTACCGCAGTATAAGTTTCACATGTTAGCACTGTTTTGCCTTGTAGCTTCAAGTTGAATCCATTAAGAAATCCCATGATATCAGCAGCAAAAGCTAATTTCCAAAGCCATTCAGTGTTTGATAATAGTGGTTGAGGGTGTTTTTTCTCATTGTGAAAAATTTCAATCTCTGCTCTGAGTTCAAAAAATCTTAATAAAACTTTACCACTGCTGAGCCATCGAACTGCTGTGTGGTAGGGTAAGTCAGGATATGCGGCTTCCACTTCTGACAGAAAATCACGGAACTGACGATGGTTCAGCCCACGAGAACGAATGAAGTTCACCGTTGACACGACTGGTTCTAAAACACACGACAGATTAAGATATTTGCCACAAAGTACATGCTGGTGAATGATACAATGAATAACCATAGGCCTTGTACACCTTGCATTTTCACAAGCTGTGTAAATGCTTCCAACTAAGCCTTTACCTGTTCCAGACATATTTTTACCACCATCAGTTGTCACACATTTTAGCTGATTCCACTTCAGATTGTACTTCGTTAACATTTCCTCAACTTCCTTGAAAATGTCTTCGCCTGTAGTTGTTCCATGCAGACTATTCATAGAAGCTAATTCTTCAGTCACTTCAAAGTCAGCATTGACTCCTCGAATAAACAGCAGCAATTGAGCAGTATCTGTAATGTCTGTTGACTCATCAAGAGCTAGGGAAAACCACTCAAAATCATTTGTCTTGTTAATTAATTGGTTAGTGATGTTGCTACCAATGTCCTCAACTCTTCGGGCAACTGTTCTCGCGGAAAGGCTGATATTATTAAATAAATCCATTTTCTCTGGACACATTTCTTCAACTGCTACAATCAAACATGATTTAATTAACTCACCATCAGTAAAGGGTTTTCCTTCCTTGGCTAACAAATGAGCTACTCGTAGACTTACTTTACTTGCAGCCTTATTTTCATTTTTCATTTTCGTGAAGAAACTGCGTTGTAATGAAATACTCCGTTTCAAAGTTTCTAATTTTTGTGATCGTTCCTTCCCTGTGAGTTGGGACTACTGTGCCGAATGCTTAGTCTGGTAATGCCGACGTATATTGTACTCTTTTAGTACAGCTATAGTATCACTGCACAATAAACACAATGTTTTGCCATCTAATTCAGTAACAAAATAATTCTCACTCCACTCTGCCTTAAAAGCATGACATTCCAAGTCCACTTTTCTCTTCTTTTGTGCTTTTGACAGCGACATGATGGATATCCACTGGTATTAAAACGACACAGAACAGCGATACACGTGGCATTCGTAACACTGCATGTCATCACAGCTGGGGCCACGAAGGAACGTGCGAATGGGAAGCTATAGGAGCGCCACACACGGCAATTCTCGCAACTCCTCAACTCAAGGTCGGCCGTTGGAGTGCGTAATCATCCATAGACAATATGTTCGAAAAAACGTAGGTTTCTTCCTATAAATAAAGCTTCATAGACGCAGAAATATTAAACTCATATTATAATAATTATCTTGTTTCATGAAATATTATCCCACTTTGACATTTTTAAGAGTTTGTAAATGTAAAATCTATTCTTAGCGTGCGGGCCGCAGAAAAAGCGGCGGCGGGCCGGAGTTGGCCCGCGGGCCGTAGTTTGCCGACCCCTGGTCTAAGGCATCGCAGCCCAAAGATGAGCCTTGGCCTCCCTTAAATGATGCCTTGAGACTTGCCTGTCTAGAGATTCTCTTTTCCAGTTTCTTACTTTCAGAATCTATATCCACTGCATGAATCCATCTTTTCATTTGCTTTTGTACAGGGCTCTTACCACTAATGTTGCTTTATAGCATAATTTGGATTCTGGAAGTGTGTTATTTCCCATATTCTCACAGGATTCATATTTAGACATTTGGTTTGTATGGTGAATATGAAGACCTGGAGCTATACTGAGGCATACTGTATAGTTCAATCTCATGCTCTGAGAAGAAGCTTTCTCTTCATGCAAAGCACACACAGCACCACACAAGGTTGTAAGGTTGATCCTGTAATATGAAAGTTATTCATTTGCTGACCTACAAGGCATGACAGTAGAGTATCTTGTGCATGAGGAGGATTAAAGAGGTTTGCTTGAACAAATTGCCAACAATACTGAACCGAAGTCAGACAGTCCTCCCATAGGTTCATAAAATGAAGTAGTTGATCAGTTTAGTAAGTGAGCTCCCAGTGAGCATGCTTCCCACTTGTGTCACAAGTTGGCCAGTCCTGTCACACAATTTTTAAAGCTTTAGAGGAAGTGTTTATGTTTCTTAGGAATTTATTGCTTGAAAATGAGGATAATATTTTCTATACAGCTGAGCCATCTTGTTGAAACTGGTGGATACTAGTATAGAATATTAGTAACACTGTCCAGTGTGATTGATATATGTTTTTTTCTTTTCTTTTAATCATTCATTCTTTACATGTTTCAGTCAGAGTGACCATCTTCAGAAGGACATATCAATACATGCAGAAACTACTATCAAAATGTCATTGATCATTATCAATACATACAGACACTGCTATGTCATGAATATAAAATATTAGCCTTTAACAAGTACAGTGATTTGCATGAATTTATTAATAGATATATAAATTAGTATAATTTGTCTATTTACAAGTAGGGATTAAATAAACTTTGTTAAGATCTAGAACCAATTTGGTTTGTGTCCTCTGTGCTGCTTCTCTTTAAAGGAAGATGAGTGGATAACATTTTGAGAAGGATATCACCATGTACCGAAATGAGCATGAACATATGTCTCTGTAGCAAGAAGACACATTCTTTCAACAAGTGACGAAATGTTTCTCACTCTCTGCCTTTACATCAAGCCTGTCTTTACATTCTGTCTCCGTAACTGGTGATATACACCATCTTAATAACAGCTTGATAATCACATAAACACCTAATTAAATCAATGAGTAGGTCATTCATCCATGCAATTCAAACTTCCTCCATAAATTTACTATATCACAGTCAACAGAAAGTTTGGATCATTTTGTGTGCACCTCTGTGCAGTGCTCAGAGTATATAGAACTGTGAATATACACATAAATACTGGTATTGTCTCTCATCCTGCCAACAGAAAGCAGGACTGACAATACTTTCAGTTTCAGCAAAATTACTGCCTATTCATAGACACAGACCTCACAGTGGAAAATAGTGTGCTGCCATATTATTTATTATATATTTTATTATTATTTAATTGGACATTTGGAAGTTCTGTTCATACTTGTGTTTCAATGAAAACACTTTATTTTACCCAACTACAAAAATACCTTTGAAATTAGTATCTTCTAACATGCAAGCATGTTTCACACTGATTTAAAAAGTTATGACACATTTTATATTTCATGTTCTTTACTTTCCACATTAATGTTTGATATTCGATATCCCTGTAATGAACTTTCGGGTGCAATGAAAAGGAAAAAAATTTCTTGACTAATTGAGTGTCTCTCAGCATTCAGATAGGTCTCTGCTCCATGAAGTTACTATTTAGGTGTGATTTTGTTAACTGCAAACAAATTATGTATGCAACAGCTGTTATCAGAGTGGTGAGTTACAAAATGATTTCAGTGGAATTGTCTTATTTCATGTAATGTGATTGATGAGGATATGATGGTTTTCATAGGGCTGTACAAGTTTCCTGAAGATCGAACCTGATCCAGGTGGTCAGAAATGTCCAGCATATTCTCATGATGGAAACCAGATGACTGATATAAAAGCCGAGGAGGCCTCAGATACTCAGGAGGAACAGGATCCTCTGCTAATAACGTCACCAGAAATAAAGGCTGAATATGAGGTGAGCTGTATATTTGCATGTCTCTTGTTATGCCCAGTTCACAGATATCCAGAGTTCTGCATTGACTTTCTCATGTCATTCTGCCTGCCTGCCTACTCGCCCGCCAACATCTCAATTCACATGTCAGTTCCAGTGAATGGATTTTGAAGATTTCATTAGTCTAGAGGCTTGTGTCTAATTGCACATTGCATATGTAGTAACAGATCAATTTGGCTGAGCCATAGCTCAAATGGTTAGTCGCTGGCTTGCCACTCTGGCAGCCCAGGTTCGATGCCAGGTCTGGTCAAGTGGGATTTGTGGTGGACAAAGTGGCGCTGGCATGGGTTTTCCCTGAGTACTTCGGTTTCCCTTGCCAGTCTTCATTCCACCAGATTCTCCATCATCATAATCACCTGGCATAGGTACAATAGGTCAGTCAGCGGCCACCATGCCGAGTGGACCCAGTTGGACTCCCCCCCCCCACTAAGCAAATTAAAAAAGCAGATAAATTTGGTTTACTTTGTTTTAACATACTGTAGCATGTTTGGACTACTGCGGACGCCGTTCAGATTGTTAATTGGTTTTATTAACAACCTACAAGTCATAACTACAATTGATTATAACACTGTTGCTGGTTTACACAATTTACAAACCCTACACACTAATTTATTCACTCTATCTTCAGTAGTCTTCATTTATTTACAGTATAACACTGGAGCTATACAAGTGTCACTGAATTACACACTCCCAATACCCACTGCCTTCTCAGTTATCACAAACTATCACTAATTATTACACATAAAATCTCCTAATCACGTGTTCAGTTCTTCCTCCCATGGCTGTCTCGAATGACTGACTCACTGACTGACTTCTGTTCTGCTGAATACTGGCGAATACTGGCTCCTTGGGTATTCCAGTTTCTCTTATGAACATTCAATTGGACAGGCGAAAAACGCAGCTTGATTCACTGTTGCATGACGCCATGTTTACAGATGTGTTGCTTAACAATGCTGCTGAGAGTTATTAACTGCTGTGTAACAACCAGTGTGGTTTGGCTCGGCTCAGCACAGCATGGCACGGAGAAACACCGCTTTCCTTATTGTTGCATAACCTAATTCCACCGTTGTGTAACATGGCAACTGACCGTTTATCAAGAGTCTGTCTTCGTGGTCACTCATTCCACATCCAATTGCCCAACAACAGTTTGACATGTCACATTACTTGACATGACACCTAAAAGGGAGAAACATGATGTCAGAGAAATGTAGCAGAAGTGGCCATTGGCAGGCAACATCAAGCGTGAAACCTGACACCTTTTGAACTTCACATTACATACTTTTCCCATTGATGATCAGAATCTAGTCTGTATAGTTTCCAAAATGCGTGGATTTCATATAAAAGTACATGCACACACACATGGACATGCATGTTTTGAGGTGCTCCAAGAAACCAGAGTCTTCAGGTTTGTGTGTGAAAAAGTGACATCCATACTCACCTGCATGTTGTTCTTTGATCAAGAATAGTGCTTGGGTCCCACATTCAATATTTTGCCCTGTGTGGTGGTGAACTGTCCTCAAAATAAATTTCCTTTTCTTCTTCACCCAGTTAAACAGACAAGAGCCCTGCACTTTTCATCAGATACCATTCTTGACTGAACTGTATTATACTAAGTGTTCTGTAACTTCATGCCATAGCTCCAGGAGGTGACTCCCGAGGTCATTCTGAGTGAAAATATTTATATTTACATGGGGCTTATTAGAATCAGTTTTGGAGTTATATGTATCTCAGGTGTAGGTACTTCTGCAGTTCATTTGCAGAATGAGAATATGCATGATGGCAGATATATTACCAGCATGATGGTGTACTCACTTTCAGTATGAACAGCATACTATACTTGAATGAACAGTTCCTTGGTTTATGCATCAGCCATAGTGGTATACTGAATTGTACACTGCATTCACCAGATCTAAACATGGTGTACGATACCAAGATGGATGTAAATGTTTAACTATTTCTGCAATTTTTTTATGCTCTAAGACATTAATAACACTGCAGTCCTTCATAAGATATGTGTTCCTTAGTGAGAGTCCATCCAGGCTGTGCATTCAAGCTGACAATGGATATTTGAACTGTTACTACAAGCTGTGTTGCCTGGAAATGCAATAATTTTTTCTTACCAAATACATTTCTTTTTTTTTCCAGTAACAGACTACTGCTAGTGAAGCTGTGGTTCAAATACCCATAGCTCTGAAAACATTGAGAATATGACCCACGTTGATATATTTCACCCAGAATGAAGGCATGAATAACTTCCTGAATTTGTTGTATGAAATCAGGGGCATTGTGTACAATATATGTCACTCTGATTCTTCCATGAATTAGTCATTCATTGCGATTTGGTACAGGACACAACTCTTATTGTGCAGTAATTATTTCTCTAGTTAATATTTATCGTAAATTTTTCTTCATTTCTTTTCAGAATACTCTGAATGAACATGAGTCCATACATAGTGCCAACCATCCATACTCCTGTGATGAGTGGCATAAGTCATTCAGTAGGCAGAGTCATCTGGAGAAACACCAGCACATACATGGTGGGGAACATTCATTTTCCTGTGATCAGTGCAGTAAATCATTCAGGAGACGGAGTGGTCTGAAGACACATCAACGCATTCACAATGGGGAGCGGCCATTTTCATGTAACATATGTTGTAAATCATTCAGGCAGCAGAGTCATCTGAAGGTACATCAACATATACATGGCAGGGAGCGGCCATTTCCCTGTGATATGTGTAATAAGTCATTCAGTCAAAGGAGTCATCTGAAGACCCATCAGCGCATTCATGTTGGGGAGCGTCCCTTTTCCTGTGACGTGTGTAGAAAGTCATTCAGCCTTCAGAATACTCTGAAGCAACATCAACGCATTCACAGTGGGGAGCGGCCATTTTCATGTAATGTGTGTCATAAGTCATTCAGTCAGCACAGTTATTTGAAGACACATCACCGTGTTCATAGTGGGGAGAGGCCATTTTCCTGTGTTGTCTGTAATAAGTCATTCAGTCAGCAGAGTCATCTGAAGATACATGAACGCATTCATGTAGGGGAGCGTCCATTTGCCTGTGATGTATGTAATAAATCATTTAGTAGAAGGGGTGATCTGAAGAAACATCACCGTGTACACAGCGGGGAGCAGCCGTTTTCATGTGATGTGTGTAGTAAGTCATTCGGTCAGCAGAGTCATCTGAAGACACATCAGCACATTCATATTGGTGAGCGTACATTTCCGTGTGATGTATGTAATAAATCATTCAGAACCCAGTGTGATCTAAAGACACATCATTGTGTACACAATGGGGAGCAGCCATTTTCATGTAATATGTGTAATAAGTTATTCAAAAGACAGCATAATCTGAAGGCTCATCATTGCCCACGTAGTGAAGAACATTTATATTCCTAGTATATTTGTAAGATATCCTGTTGTCTGCAGATGAGCCTTTTCATACATACTGCAGAACATCTTTGGTCCTGCCACATGTAAGAATCTTCTCTGCTATCAGAATTGGATTAGATATCAGTACATGCATATCTGAGTGTGCAAGACATTGTAATGAAGTGATGTGTACAGGCTGCTTTTTCAGACCTGGACTCTGGGTTATAGCTGAGGGTAGGCATGGCAGGAAGAATCAGGGTAGTGATTGTAGTTGCATGGTGGGATGCTGAAGCACAACCAAGTTTAGTAATAACCCATGCTCATCGTGTAGTCTTTGTGGTTGTGGACTTGACAAAATCTGATGCACATTCAGTTGAGTATGGCCATGAGTCCAGTTCCTTTTCCCAGGAAAGTCGAATATTGCTAGTGTGACCATTTTGTTTGTTTTACAGCAAATGTCACTTAAGAGAAAAATAATTTGGGTATAACACTAACATTTGGTGCTGAGATAGCTTAGTGGGTATGGCAATGGGCTACATGCTGGATGGTTGGGTTCATATTCCTGGCAAGGAAAACAGATTATTCTCTACCCCACAATATGCAGACTAGCTCTGAGTCCTCACCCAGCCTTTTGTACAGTTTGTATATTGGGAGGGGGCTGAGCAGCTGGACCATGAAGGTGACCACCCTCCTCCATCTAGTGCTGAAGAGAAGAATGATCAGCTGTGCCTCCAGTCCACATACATCTTCATGGAATGTTGCTTAATTAACTAAACATGGACAGCTGTACCTTTACCCTTTGCTTTTATAACCCTGACATTTGGTGTGTGGTTTAAACACTCTGCTACAAGCAGGAAAGTCACAGGTTTGATTTCTGATGAGGTCATTGGATTTTTCAGTTGATCTAATCCTTCCAGCCACCCTATGGCCCAGGGTTCAACTCATCCTCTAACAGAAATGAGTACTAGAAATCTTCATGGGGGTAAAGGGTGGTCGGTGCATAAGGCTGACAACCTCACCGCCATCTGTGAGCCAGTTGTCTAGACTCTGTGGGAGCCTTGATGTCTCATAACCCTATGGGCCCCATGGCCAGGAGGGATAGCTTTACCTTTTTTTTAACATTGTGTGTGTGCAGTAGGCCGTCATTATGTAGCACATCATACTGTGAATCTAGATATAATGCAGTGTTGATCATGCTCTGCATTACAATTATGCATGTTTTATTCATGTTATACAAATTTCTGTGAAATACTATAGTGACAGTATAAGACTGTATTGCAAAAAATCAGTACAAAGTCCGTCGAGTGTAACAATGTTTTTTAGGTCACTTCTTTCTCACTCTTGCCTTACATGTTTCGGTTTTAGTAAAACCATCTTCAGAGGCACATGGTACTAACAAGAAAACACTGGCGTTGTTTAACTGTACACAGTATATATGCTGTGTGGGCACTGCTACAAATGTCGATGTGTAAAAGCACAACACTAGCTTGGAGTACTGAATGCACGTACAGAATGCACGTTCAACCTTCGCATTCCATCCGAAGTTGCCCTCGCGTTAAAACATCACTATTAAAATATTTAAAAAATATTTAAAAGTTTAAGACTTTTGAAGTAAAATATAAAAATGTTAGGCTGCTTCTTAATTTATCCCGATGTTGGGAGATGTCTTGAGGTTGTATTGGCTGCAAAGACATTGTATTACATTAGGTTTTATATATTTATATATATTGAATTTATTTTGTTTAGTGTTGTATTTGATCCTTGCTTACCTTGTAGTTGGATTACTCCTGTGCGTTGTGTGTTGTGTA